AAAGGGTAAGTTTGCACTTTTACTCAAAGAACAACTAATACAAGATTTATCAATGGAATCCAATGGCAAAGTTTTATTATTCAAAAGACCAGAAGTAAATAATGTATCTAATCTCTTAACATTGAGATGACCAAGTCTATGATGCCATAAGTGCCAAAGATTATGAGAACTAGAGACATCTTTATTCGAAGAAACAAATAAACCAGCATCACTATTTCCATTGATCAATTCCATGCAGCAAATGAACAACCTCAAACTTGTTCCTTTCACCAACCAGAAGATGGTACACCTGTGGATGCTCAATCAGTAAGTGATTCTAATCCTGCTTCTAATGCCTCTACTAATTCCATTGTTTCTTTACGTCGTTCTGCTCGTACTATTCATCCACCTGATCGTCTTAACCTTTTTACCTCTGTCTCTTTGTTGACAACATTAGATTTTGTTGATATACCTCGTTCTTACCAGGAGGCTGTTAGCATTCCTTGTTGGAAGGAAGCTATGGATTTTGAATTAAGTGCCTTATTGGAGAATGATACTTGGGATATGGTACCTTGTCCTTCTAATGTGTCTATTATTGGTAGCAGGTGGGTCTTTTCTGTTAAGCTCAAAGCAGACGGTAGTATTGAGCAGTATAAAGCAAGACTTGTTGCCCAAGGTTATAAGCAAGAGTATGGAATTGATTATATAGAAACATTTGCACCAGTGGCTAAAATGACTACAGTGAAATTACTTATTGCTCTTTCGGCAATGCATCAGTGGCCTATTTCTCAAATGGATGTGAAGAATGCTTTTCTGCATGGGAATTTGAAAGAAACTGTTTATATGAAGCCTCCTCCAGGTTATTCACATTCTAAATCCATGGTTTGCAAATTAAAGAGATCATTATATGGTCTTAAGCAAGCTCCTCGAGCTTGGTTTGAACGCTTCCGTCAAGTTATTGTGGATGCTGGGTATGTTCATAGTTCTCATGATTATTCCTTGTTCATGCATAACTCTCCACAAGGTGTTACTCTACTTTTGATTTATGTCGACAATATGCTTATTACTGGTAGTAATAAGGAAGGTATTGCTAAGTTGAAAGAGTTACTTTGTCGTTCTTTTCAGATGAAAGATTTGGGGCCACTGACTTATTTTCTTGGTTTAGAAGTTTACTCATCTTCTCGAGGTTATGCGGTGAATCAACGGAAGTATGTTCTCAATTTGATCCAATTTGCGAATCTATCTGATGATAAATGTGTTGACACTCCAATGGAAGTAAATGTCAAGCTTAGGAAGGAGGATGGTGAAAAACTCTCTAATCCTAGCTTTTATCGTCAACTTGTGGGTCGCCTCCTTTATCTTACTATGACTAGACCTGATATTGCTTATGCTGTGCAAGTGGTTAGTCAATTTGTTGCAGATCCTCGGCGGTTACATCTAACGGCTGTTCTTCGCATAATTCGATATCTTCGTGGCACTATTTCAAGGGGACTTTTCTTCTCTCATCCTGTATGCAATTGCAAGCTTATGCAGATGCTGATTGGGCAGGTTGTCCTGATACACGTCGCTCCACCACAGGTTGGTGTGTGTTTCTTGGTGATTCCCTTATTTCTTGGAAATGCAAGAAACAGAAAACAGTGTCCAAATCCACTGCTGAAGCTAAATACCGAGCAATGTCTTCAGCATGTAGTGAATTGACTTGGCTTCAAGGATTTTTACAGACACTTTTCCTACTCCTCCTTCACCTCTTTATGCTGATAATATGAGTGCTATTCGTATTGCATCCAATCCTGTCTTTCATGAGCGTACCAAGCACATTGAAGTGGATTGCCACTTTATACGGAATATGTATCTTGCAGGTGCCATTACTCTTCCTTATATTGCTTCTGAGCATC